ACCAAGAAAGCAGACGTGAATGGTATGAGTGTTTTTTCCCTAGTTTTCATTTGGAGGTCAGAATTCCCCTTTCCTTCACCTTGTTCAGTTCCCCTGGAGAAATTCAGAAATGTTCCCCACCCCCAGTCCCTAATGGAACAGACATGCTGGGTGCATCTAGACACACCAAAAAAGTGATTTGGTTATGGTTTTCCCACTAGTGATGTATGGAAGTGAGAGCTGGACCATAAAGAAGGCTGATCGGCGAAGAATTGTTGCTTTTGAATTATGGTGCTGGAGGAGACTCTGGAGAGTCCCATGGACTGCAAGAAGATCAAACCTCTCCATTCTGAAGGAAATCAGCCCTGAGTGCTCACTGGAAGGACAGATCGTGAATGTGTAAATGGTCTGCTTTGAGTCATAGTCATAACCGTGTTCCAGGGAAGACACACAGAAGCATAATGCTTAGAGCTAAATGGGTAAAGCTCAGCTTTGTAACAAGATCCATCCTCCCTCCCCATTCCAACTAAATAGCAGGATATTCAACAGGAGCTCAAAACACAGCATTCACGTTAATCAAACCTTGCTAGGTATTGTGTTCAGTTGTGCCTTTCATTCAGCTTCCAGAGGCAGAACAACGGCTGTTTTACTAATTGGTTTCTGAAGTACTAAGTGTCATTCAGTACAGAAAATAGAACTTTTTAAAAAAAAAAAAAAAAACAACGTTCGGTCTTATTTTGCATCTTAATTACCTGTCAACTACTTTGGCTCTGAATTATTTTTCAAGGTTAAATGTTAAGAATACAGTACTGTATAGCCCGAATATAGGCTTGTTTGTTTGTTTTAAATCAAATGTAAACGGGTGGGGTAGGGACACGGGTGGCACTGTGGGTTAAACCACAGAGCCTAGGGCTTGTTGATCAGAAGGTCAGCGGTTCGAATCCCTGCGACGGGGTGAGCTCCCGTTGCTCGGTCCCAGCTCCTGCCAACCTAGCAGTTCGAAAGCACGTCAAAGTGCAAGTAGATAAATAGGTACCGCTCCGGCGGGAAGGTAAACGGCATTTCCGTGCACTGCTCTGGTTTGCCAGAAGCAGCTTAGTCATGCTGGCCACATGACCTGGAAGCTCCCTTGGCCAATAAAGCGAGATGAGCGCTGTAACCCCAGAGCCGGCCTAATGGTCAGGGGTCCCTTTACCCTTTACCTTTAAATGCTAGTTAGCAGAGCACTAGATCCCAGTAGGACAGAACACTTCCACTGGCAGACACAGGGTGTGGGTGTGTGTGTGTGTGTGTGTGTGCGCGCGCAAAACCTTGCGGATCTCAAAAGAGGACTGATACCTGGGCTTCTCAGCTGTGCCAAACTGAACCAACTGTATATAAAAAAAGCAGGGGAGAAAACATCCCTGATTTCTTCCCTGGTTGGTGTGAACTGGCTGGACTTCAGATGAAGTACTTGATCTGCTGCACCACCCCTGTCCCCCCCTCTTTCCTGTTAACACAGCAATCCTAACCCCCAAATTTGCTGGCTGAAGTGTGTTAAAATGAAGCGGGAACTTCTCCACTGCAAGCAGAGAGCAGCTCAGTTGGCCAGAGGGCATCGGTGTCACCTGGCATGTCTGCAGAAAGTTCCATAGGTGCACATCTGTTGCTGGCAGGCTCCCCAGGGTCGAAGTGGCCAAGGATCTACAGGGAGAGTCCATCAACAGCAGCCCGCTCCATCTTGACATCACCTTTTGAAGTGGGTCTAAGTCTTACGATGCGTCGAGAGAAGACAAAGTGTGCATTTTTGTATGTATGCCTGCGCAGAGCCTTATGTACTTGAGTGATGTGCCAGCGAGGAAGAACACGCTTTTCAGTCTTTTGCTCTCCTCTCCTTTGCAATGTTCTGCGTTGTTTTCGGTTACTGCTGTCTCTTGTTTCGCAGGTGGGAAATGGTTGGTCTCTTAGACATAAGAGCTCTGTGGAGCTACTTTAAAGGGCAAGCTGTCCTACTTTGGGGGTCACATTCAGCTGACCCTGCTGTTGGGCATAGGTTGCGGCACAGAAAGTGGGTCTTCGTGAATATTTCCCTTGCTGAGCTAGCTTCAGAGTACAGTATGGCATGGTCAGTAGTGGAGAAGCTCCTTTGCTTACTTAAGCTCTCCTGATGAGAGAGAGGGAGGAAGGAAGGAAGGAAGGAAGGAAGGAAGGAAGGAAGGAAGGAAGGAAGGAAGGAAGGAAGGGAATAAGAGAGAGAGAGCTCACCTCCTGGGCCTAGGATGGCGAAACAAGGCTACTATTCTGGAAATCCTTGTCTTAGACTCTGTGAAAGAATTATGTGGAACTGTAACAACCCTTCATGTGAATTATTGGACTCTTTGAACAGACAGGTGGAATTGATACCTGTATGGACCTTATGCATGAACTGACTAGAGAATGACCTGATCCACTGGGTCTTCTGCTTTTTTCGTTGAACTTTATGAGACTTCCGTTGAAATCTACAATTTGATACAATGAATAGTATACCTTATTTATTTAAAAGTACAGCCGGTTACGTCTTGTGTGTTTATCAGAGTACAGTATGGCATGGTCAGTAGTGGGGAAGGTCCTTTGCTTACTTAAGCTCTCCTGACGAGAGAGGGGAAGGAAGAGAGAAAGAAGGAGAGAGAGAGAGAGAGAGAGAGAGAGAGAGAGAGAGAGAGAGATCACCTCCTGGGCCTGGGTGTCTAGAAACATCCCTCATCCTTCTACAGGTCTATCTGCATCACAGGCTCAGAACTGCAGCTGTGTGAGAGAGGCCAGGGATCCCTAACAGAGAATGCTCGGCATCTTCACCAAAGTACAGTTCCCAGAATTCTTGGAAGGGAAGCTGTGACTGTTAAGCTGGTATCACGCCAAAATATCTCCAATGCTTGACTGCTTGACTGAGGTCAGCTACTGAGATTGCAGGTCGGTTTGACCCTCAGGGACTCTTCCAACTCTACAATTCTATGGTTCTAAAAGCTACAGAGTATGCAGGTTTGAGTGCCAACGCTCCCTTAAAATACCAGACTGAACAATCTCTTTCCTTTTACTACCTGTGTGTGTTTCTGCTCTGCACACACAACTTCTCTCCATCGTTTTCCCCCAAGGAGAGAAATGAGGTTGTTCACAGGTGAGGTGATGCTGCGGTTGCTAGCTAACCACAACAGGTTGCTTCTCCCTTCTCCAAGAAAGGGCAAAATGGCTAACAGAAAGCCTGAAGCGCAGCCATAATCACCTTGCACTTTCTCTCTTGGATCTTTGTCCCATCCATCCAACAGCTTCCCACGGCAGCCTTACGCTTCCCAATCAATCAAAAACACAGTAAAAACATTGAAAACATACACCAGATACCCGCAAAACAGTCAATTTTGATATATAAAGGAAGCTTGTGTGAAACCCTCAGAAGAACTCAAAGCCTTGAAAACGGTGCTGAAATGACCTCAATCTAGCCACTGGATAGAGCATCCTCCCTGGATAAAGCATTCCACTGTCAAGGTGCCACCACCGGGTAGCCCCTTCCCCCTGGGTAACTGCCTGCCGCATCTCAGTTAACTGGGAAATGAAGATCTCTGTGGAGCCAGTGAGTCCTTCAGATCTGCTGCTCTCAAGCCATGAAGGTTTTTAAAGCAATACCTGATCTATTTGGCTGAGAACACAACCAGCAAAGTGGAAGTTGCATCCACTGAGCACTGTGCTTCTTTTCAGCATTTATATGCCCACAAGTCTTTAATGGGTGCGAAATGAAAGAACTTCCCACAATCCACTCAAATCAATGGGCTTAAGCAATATTTCACTCTGTATTGGTTTGTGAACCCAAGTATGACTGCGCAGCTATCTAACTGGAATTAGCACGACCCTTCTTTGGGAAAGTGCTTGAGAGGGTGGCGGCTGTTCAGTTCTGGGTGGAAACTGATAATCTGGAGTCGTTCCAGTTTGAGTTCAGCCCTGGTTTCAGGACCAAATCAGCTCTGGTCACTCTTGAACTTTGTCAACCCAGTAGTCAATCACACCATTCAAAGTTGGAGCTAACTCTTTTATTACGAAAAGTGTGATATTCACAGACTTGGCGGAGTGTCGTGCCTAATGAGCTCATCTCCGGTAGGTCTTGCCCCCATGAAACAGTTGCTGAGACTGATGGTCCCCATCTCTCCACAGCTGCCTAAGTCCCCTCTTCTCCGGAGTTAATTACCAACCAGAGACTGTGTCTGCATGAAGCCAACCTCTCTTCTGCCCTTTTCATGCCTCCCGTAAGCTGTACGCCAGCTCCTTCAGCCAGTAAAGTGAGATGAGCGCTGCAACCCCAGAGTCGTCCGCGACTGGACCTAATGGTCAGGGGTTCCTTTACCTAAGCTTGGTGGCATGGAAAAGTTTTCAGCAGACATTTAGATGAACATTCAACAGGGCTGGGTTGATGACACTAAAAACTTGGATTCCTGTAGCTGCCGGAAGAGCCTCACCAGTGACCAATGATGCTCCTGCAAATAGTTCACTGATGGCATAAAGGTAAAGGATAAAGGGACCCCTGACCATTAGGTCCAGTCGTGACTGACTCTGGGGCTGCGATGCCCATCTCGCTTTATTGGCCGAGGGAGCCGGCGTACAGCTTCCGGGTCATGTGGCCAGCATGACTAAGCCGCTTCTGGCGAACCAGAGCAGCGCATGGAAATGTCGTTTACCTTCCCGCCGGAGCGGTACCTATTTATTTACTTGCACTTTGACGTGCTTTCAAACTGCTAGGTTGGCAGAAGCAGGGACTGAGCAACGGGAGCTCACCCCATCGCAGGGATTCGAACCGCTGACCTTCTGAACGGCAAGTCCTAGGCTCTGTGGTTTAACCCACAGCGCCACCCGTGTCACCAATGGCATACAAGCTCACAAATGACAGGAATAGCACAGCCATGCCGGGTGAAGATGGGCTCGCATGCTGCGCTATCAGCACTGCAATTGGGGCAGTGTGTCAGTGTGCAAAAGCGGTCAATTTAGGTGCCATCATGAAAAATGGAATGACCCATAGTTTTATGCAAAAGTCTTTATTTAACAATGCCCTCCTTATGCCTTCCATAAGTCGAAAAAAATACTTCAGCTTTTGGTTATTGGTTTCATACAGAACAGCATTACACAAGATGCGGTACTGACAGATCCCCTGTGACCCCCCCATGCCATATTGTCCACCTGAAAGCCTCTCCCAGGTATGCACTACACTACTTGCATCACACTCAATACAACAACCTCCCCTTGTCTTCATGGTGGCCCATTTTCTTTCTACGTGGTGGTTGGCATGTCGTTCTCTGTTGCAGCAGGAGTGGCTGGGTCAGGTTCTGGGGCATACTGGTATTTGTGGACAAAATGGTCCACGAGACGCTGCCTGGTTGCTGCCACTTCTTTCTCATAGGCATTTATTACACTTTGCCCGGTTTTGCTCTGGAGGAGAAAGGGGGTAGATTTTATTTAGTTGCCATTTTTGAAGTTAAATACCGCAAGCAGCTACTTTAGATATTGCAAGATACGGCAAGGAGCCTGGAACTGCCAGTGCCTCATGCTCACTGTTCCTCTGCGTGGGGTGGTTGCATCTGAAAATGGGGACTTCTGACACACTGCCCAGAGCAATGTGCACACAATTGCTATGAGAGAGGCACCTTACACACCTCTGGGGGGAGATAAGGGGCACTAGAGAAGTGGTACAGGGAACCGAAAGCATGAAGTGCAGGCGGCAAACATTTTGTGCATGTCCGATTGATATGCAACTGCCAATGCGCAGGTCATTTTGGACCTGGAAGGGGGCACTCTTATCCACATTCCACCAATAATAATATAATAATAACATTTTATTTATATCCCGCCCTCCCCAGCTGAAGCCGGGCTCAGAGCACCTAACAACAGTAAAAGTAACACAGTTTACATAAAACCACAATCAATAAATTAAAATACATTCTAAAATCAGTTCATTCTAAAATCAATTCTGAATCAAATTAATGGCAACCATTGGGCTAGAGTTCTATGAGGATTACCGAAGGAGGGGGTCAGGCTGTGCCTTGGCCAAAGGCCTGGTGGAACAGCTCTGTCTTGCAGGCCCTGCAGAAAGATGTCAAGTCCCGCAGGGCCCTAGTCTCTTGTGACAGAGCGTTCCACCGGATCGGGGCCACGGCCGAAAAAGCCCTGGCTCTGGTTGAGGCCAGCCTAGCCTCCCAGTGGCCTGGGATCTCTTTTTTTTTTTAAAATATTTTTTATTGAGTTTCTTTTCTTAGGTTCATGAACACAGGATATCAATAAGAAAGTGCAAGAAACAAATACAAAAAGAGATATTAGAGAACAAAAAAAGGTTATTTCTGTCCAACTTTCAATAGTTTTTTTTTTCAATATTCCAGGTGGACTTCCCCACATCCTCCAGACCCTGCGTTCTCTGCAATAAAAGTTTCAGCAATTTGTTACCTTGTTACTTAATTTATTGTATCTTTCAGTTATTATGTTTCCGAATTCACAATCTCATATCCCAAACTTTGTACATTTAAAATTAACATAATAAAGTTGTTTCATTTACCACCTCTTTTTTCTTGTCTTAATTTTCAATTTACCTAATCAAGTTGCTAAAGCGAAAATTTCCTAATCGTGCATGTTTCTTAACATTCATACAACTTATAATGTTTTTGCAAATAGTCCTTAAATTTTTTCCAGTCCTCTTCCATTGTTTCCTCTCCCAGATCTCGGATTCTGCCAGTCATTTCAGCCAGTTGCATATAGTCCATCAACTGCGTCTGCCACTCCTCCAACGTGGGTAGATCTTGAGTCTTCCAGTGCTTTGCAAGAAGAATTCTTGCTGCTGTGGTAGCGTACATAAACAAAGTTCTGTCCTTCTTTAACACCTTCTGGTCCACCATGCCCAGTAGGAAGGCCTCTGGTTTCTTAGGGAAGGTATACCTAAATACCTTTTTTAACTCATTGTGAATCATTTCCCAGTAGGCCTTCACTTTTGGGCAGGTCCACCAAAGGTGAAAGAATGTCCCTTCTGCCTCCTTACATTTCCAACATTTATTATCAGACAGATGGTATATCTTAGCTAACTTGACTGGGGTCATGTACCACCGGTATATCATTTTCATAATGTTTTCTTTCAAGGCATTACATGCCGTAAACTTCATACCGGTGTTCCATAACCTTTCCCAGTCTTCAAACATAATGTTGTGTCCAATATCCTGTGCCCATTTTATCATGGCAGATTTGACTATCTCATCCTGTGTATTCCACTTAAGCAGCAAGTTATACATTTTCGATAATGTCTTAGTTTTTGGTTCTAACAATTCTGTCTCTAATTTCGATTTTTCCACTTGGAAACCAACTTTTTTATCTATTTTAAACACCTCTTGAATTTGAGCATAGTGTAACCAGTCCCGCACCTTATCTTTTAGCTTGTCTTGGCTCTGCAGCCTCCAATTGTCTCCAGTTTTTTCAATTATTTCCCAATATTTTGGCCAGTAGGCCTCCATATTGGGTCTTTTTCTAGCCTTGGCCCAGTGGCCTGGGATCTCCAAGATGTTTTTATTTGAAGACCGTAAGGTCCTCTGTGGGACATACCAAGAGAGGCGGTCCCATAGGTACGAGGGTCCTAGGCCGTATAGGGCTTTAAATGCCTGCAGGGGCCAGGATAGGAACTCCCCTGCAAAATGTTGCTGCCTGTTACTTCTCCCCAGTTGTTCCAGTGGCAAGATTTTCTCCAACCCTTTCCCACTTGAGTTAGGGTCAGAGCTCTTTACCCCTGAATCAGAGCCAATGGCAATCTGCTAAAGACCTGAATTGCTGTTTGCCACGCCTCAGCCTTAATAAAGCGGCATTTTCTCATGGAAAACTCTGGAGTTAAAAAAGGAGCATTCAGAAAACATGGGCCTTTGCTTGGAAGGCACAGAGAAAAAAGGTAAGTATGGACAAGCCCTTAGACACAGAGATGCCAAGATTTACATGAACTAGTGGGCAGCCAAAATTCATTTTGGTGCAAATTTCCAAAGCCCACAGATATCCGTGTCCTTACTTACAAGAAAGATCCTGACCCGCTCCATCTCTAGTTCATAGTATTCTTCAACTGTCAGGTCGTCAAAACTCTTAGAAAGGGACAAAAACCCACAAGAGTCTCCGGAACGCTTGGAGTGCTCCAGCCTGCAGTGGGAACAGTAAGATGGCAAGCGAGCAGCTTAAGAGGACCAAGAGAGATTAGAGGAATTTTGTCCTCGTCCCTCCCTTTCACTGCAATAAGATAATAAATAAATAAATAAATAAATAAATAAATAAATAAATAATAATAATAATTTATTTATACCCTGCCCATCTGGCTGAGTTTCCCCAGCCACTCTGGGCGGCTCTCAATCAAGTGTTAAAAACAGTACAGCGTTAAATATTAAAAACTTCCCTAAACAGGGCTGCCTTCAGATGTCTTTTAAAGATAGTATAGCTGCTTATTTCCTTCACATCTGAAGGGAGGGTGTTCCACAGGGTGGGCGCCACTACTGAGAAGGCCCTCTGTCTGGTTCCCTGTAACCTCACTTCTCGCAATGAGGGAACCGTCAGAAGGCCCTCGGCGCTGGATCTCAGTGTCCGGGCTAAACGATGGGGGTGGAGACGCTCCTTCAGGTATACTGGGCTGAGGCCGTTTAGGGCTTTAAAGGTCAGCACCAACACTTTGAATTGTGCTCAGAAACGTACTGGGAGCCAATGCAGATCTCTCAGAACCGGTGTTATGTGGTCCCGGCGGCCACTCTCAGTCACCAGTCTAGCTGCCGCATTCTGGATTAATTGCAGTTTCCCGGTCACCTTCAAAGGTAGCCCCACGTAGAGCGCGTTGCAGTAGTCCAAGCAGGAGATAACTAGAGCATGCACCACTCTGGCGAGACAGTCCGCAGGCAGGTAGGGTCTCAGCCTGCGTACCAGGTGGAGCTGGTAAACAGCTGCCCTGGACACAGAATAGACCTGCACCTCCATGGACAGCTGTGAGTCCAAAATGACTCCCAGGCTGCACACCTGGTCCTTCAGGGGCACATTTACCCCATTCCAGACCAGGGAATCCCCCACACCCTCCCGCCCCCTGTCCCCCCAAAACAGTACTTCTGTCTTGTCAGGATTCAACCTCAATCTGTTAGCCACCATCCATCCTCCAACCGCCTCCAGACACTCACACAGGACCTTCACTGGTTCTGATTTAAAGGAGAGGTAGAGCTCTCTACCTGTAATGATTGAGATTGGTGCTTTTCTAGCTAACCTGCATTAGCCAAGGTGCAGGAAGAGAGTGTAATCCAAATAGAAAGGCAGTCTTATCCACGGATCCCCACTTGGTATTTCATACAGTTTTAACCTTGGGCAATTGCTAGGCCAGAGAACCCCGCTGGGTCTTTCTTACCAGGGATCGTGATCTGGCTCCCAGCCCTCCAACTCTATTAAGCAGAAGAAACACTTTGCCAGGTCAGGTTCATTTGCTCCTGGACAGTGGATCAAGCCAGCCCTGGCCATCTGAATGAGAAGAGCAGAACAACATGCTGAAGACATTGGCAGGGAAGCTATATTGTGCAACGTGGGGTGATTCTTGCCATCCTGACACCTCGGGCGCCTTGAATGTGCCACTCTTTGGACTCTGACAGCTTAGAATATTTTCTTCCCCATGCTGAAAGTTAACAAGTATAAATCATGTAATCATAGAATTGTAGAGCTGCAAGGGAGTCACCTAGTCCAACCCTCTGCAAAGCAGGATTTTTTTTGGCCAGTGTGTGACTCGAACCCGTGACGCTTAGATTAAGTGCCTCGTGCCCTCCCAACTGAGCTACCCAAGTTTAAGTAAGATAGATTTGCAATTCTGCAAATCATGTATTTGCATGGCTCTGAAGAAATTGAGGTGCTCCCTGCTGCCGTATTTTAAAGGCTTGGTAGCAGGTCTTATAAAGGGACACGGGTGGCGCTGTGGGTTAAAGCCTAGGACTTTCCGATCAGAAGGTCGGAGGTTTGAATCCCCGTGACGGGGTGAGCTCCTGTTGCTCGGTCCCTGCTCCTGCCCACCTAGCAGTTCGAAAGCATGTCAAAGTGCAAGTAGATAAATAGGTACCACTCCGGTGGGAAGGTAAACGGCGTTTCTGTGCGCTGCTTAGTCATGCTGGCCACATGACCCGGAAGCTGTACGCTAGCTCCCTCGGCCAATAAAGCGAGATGAGTGCCGCAACCCCAGCATTGGTCATGACTGGACCTAATGGTCAGGGGTCCCTTTACCTTTACCTTTAGCAGGTCTTATATTAAAGTTATGCTCCTCTCGCGAGTTGTGACCCAAGTACCTCCTGCTTAGCTTGATCACAGTAACTTGTCCAGTTTCTGCTACCCCAAGATCCAAGCTCTTCAACTTTACATCCAGCAGACCTCATTTATCGTGCAAGGTAAAGTAAAGTTCTCTAAAGGTTTTGCTCTGCTGGTTCCTTCCAAGATTTATCTACCTTACGAGAGAGTTGTGTGCTTCTTTAATTTTGCACATTCGGTAGCGTTTGTTTGCTCTTTACCAGAACCCCAAGGCATAGCTGTCAACTTTCAGATTTGAAAATAAGGGATCGGCAGCCTCACCTGTCCCGGGCACAGTCTACGGGATATCTAACAATCTGGGATAGCAGTGGGAGGCAGCGGGAAACGGCGCTGGAATAAGGGAATATCCCGCAAAAAAAGGGAAGGTTGACAGCTATGCCCCAAGGTTCTCGTTTCCCCAACCTTAAGTACAGTCCTGCACATTTCCACATCCATTTGCTATTAAAAAGAAACATTCTTGTGAAAATTGATCAGTATTACTGAGTGAATTTCTCCTAAGAGACATTATTGTTTGCAGTCTTGCCCAACATACACATTTGTGCAAAGCCATTTCCCCTAATACAGAGCATCTTCATATGATACTTTCAACAATATAGGTATTTTTGAAGTACACACTTTTCTCCAGCATATTCATTACTTGGCTGAAGACCTCATAAAATTCAGAGAACTGCGAATTTCAAAGGATGACTTGTTTTGATTTACATATTGTTTTAGAAAGTCAGATTAGGTAGGTTCACTTTTAAATGCAAATTGAATCACATTTTGCCCTTCTTCTCTGCTTAGCCAAGGTACCAGAGCCAAGCGTGCAAGTCCTTTCACATAAAAATCCCCTCTTGGTCTCCTCTCCACCCCTCCCCGCCCCCTGGGATCCTTTTAGGGAAAGAGGGAAGCTTTTTTAGTCTTTATGGTTAGACATCCGGGAGGCAGAAGTCCTTGCTAATCTACTTCAAGTCACTCAGATCCAGCAGCATATCCCGTTTATCTTCTGCCCACTCCTGACCTATAGGGTTTGTAATAGCTAGAAAATAAAACCTCTAGGATTTGTAATAGCTACAAGGTAAAACCACAGTATGATGCAGGATTTTGGCGTAGGCAGGCGAGCAACAGAGCGTACCTTAAACCCTTTTCATCCTTAACCTGCAAGGATACTGTCAAAAGAGACAAGCAAAAATGCTACTGAGATGAGATAAACACACTTTGGGAATTTAAGGAGTTTTGCTCACTTAAAAAAAAAAACCTGGACCTTCTTCAAGATAGTCTCCATCCACAAACCACTGAAAGATAGCCTCAAAGTAGAATATACCACCCAATCTCATGAATAAACCAAGACTACAAGATACTCACGTCAATCTTGGCCAACCGCCTAAAAATTTCCCTACACAAGTTAAAAGCCTCAGACCAGACTGGCTCCATCCCTGGTCGCAATATAACAGACCCCATTACTGAATCTGATTGAACACAGCAAGGCAACTAAACTCCCACTGACAATCATGTCCCTAGACATCCTCAAAGCTTTTGATTGCTTAGAGTGGTAATACCTATTAGCAGTGCTAACTAACATGAAATTAGGTCCTAACTTCTTACAAACCCTCAAACAAATATACTCCTGAGTCTCAGCAAAATGCAGGACTAACAGTATGGACGCCAATACCATAGCAATCCAAAGAGGCACAAAACAAGAATGCCTGCTATCTCCCTTCCTATTCATCCTGGCTCTGGAACCCTTAGCAATCCAAATCTGAGCAGCCACAGACATCAAGGGAGTGGAAATAAAAGGCAGAACCTATAAATTAGGGCTCTTGGCAGACGACTTAATGGTCACAACACCAGACCCCATAAACACAGCAACCTCCCTAATCAGAGAACTCAACACATTTGCAATGGTGCTGGGCCTATGGGTAGATTTTGCAAAGTCTGAGGCTATGTGTTTCAACACCCTGCCACCCTGCCCAAAAATAATTTGCCAAGATAAAACTTTGTTGCACCAAGTTCAGATACCTTGGGGTACAAATAACCAGAAACCTCAGCAAATTATACCTTCACAACTACAACCCCTTGTGATGACAGATCAACAAAGACCTGAAGAGATGGAACAACACCAACTTCACTCTCTCAGGCAAAATAGCCATGATCAAGATGCTCACCCTCCCAAAATTAACCTACCTATTCCAAACCCTCCCAGTCAGGATTCCCCCAGCCCAAATTCACAAATGGCAGAAAAAATTACTCATTTATCTTCTCACGCAAAAACAAACAAACAAGAATAAGCCCCAAATACCCACAACTCCCCTCCCCAACTCAGTAGCACTTAAGAAGAAGAAGAAGAGTTTGGATTTGATATCCCGCGGGGAAGCGAACCCGGTTCACCAGATTACAAGTCTACCGCTCTTAACCACTACACCACACTGGCTGACCTACAAAAGCTGGTTTTCTTATTTGATTGATTAAGTAGACCTACACTTTCAGGAGTACACTTGCAGTTCTCTTTAAAAGGCCAGCATGCAAAGCTGCTCAAGCGATTCTCATAATAATGCATGCTTCTATATTCAAGCAAGCACTTGGAGTTTGAGTTGACTTTCTTCAGCACAGTCTCCATTTCTGTGACTCCTTAGCAGCGTTCCCCTGTCACGACTTACCTCTTTATATATAAGGCACTGCAAGAAGCTGACTTGATTGGTCTCCCCTGTGAACATCAACGTAAATGAGCGAGGGGGAGCCCCACCCAAAGCAATCTGCAGTTGTCGAAAAAGGAAAACTGTGGCAAAAAAAATTAAAAGAGATAGCCCAGCAGCCAAGCCCTGTTTGGTTTGTTCTGCTCAAATACTTTATTAAAAATATTTTTACTCTGCTTTTCAGCCAAAAGAAAAGGCTCCTGCAGTGACTTAGCATGATCAATAATAAGCTTATGCTTACAATAACACACACACACACACACACACACACACACACACACAACACAAAAGGAAAAATGGCTTGCTGGGAGAAGGAAAAAAAAACCCCTCAGGCACTAGTTTTCAGTTACAAGGTTTCTGTAAGTTTTCTTTCTGGTATGAAGGGGGAAAGCCAGCTCACTACAACTGTCCTTTCTTTGGCTGATTAGTCCAGCCATTGAAGGCAGCCCTGTTTAGGGAAGTTTTTAATGCTCGATGTTTTATCGTGTTTTTAATTTTCTGTCGGGAGCCGTCCAAACAGGCACTTGGAGTTTGAGTTGCTCTCGCCCAGGGAAGTCTCCATTTAAGAATCCAATTCTGTGACTTCTTAGCAACCTTTCCCTGACATGACTTATATTTAAAATCATATAGATATGATTCTATTCTGTGAACCGCCCTGAGACTCCCAGGTATAGGGCAATATATGAATTCAATAAAATAAAATAAAATAAAGATAAACATGAGTGCATTGGGATAGGGGGTGGCAAAGGTGATGATAGTAGGATCTTGTCTCCTAATTTTCGTTACTTGCACAATCTTCTATCTAGCTCAACTGGTAGAGAATGAGGCTCTTAATCTCAGGGTTCTGTGTTTGAGCCCCATGTTGGGCAAAATATATTTTCATTGCAGTGGGTTGAACTAGATGACCTTTGTGGTCCCTTCCAACTCCACAATTCTACGATTCCTGGTCAAGTTCCTACATAGATTGTTCTCGTTATGAAGATTCAGGAGTGTTAGGTTGTCCTGTGGTTCTGAAAAGAAATTGTATCTGGGATTTTATTGAGCTGTGTTTGAGAAATGCTTATTAAAGGTGCGCCTTCCCTTTAGCCATTCATTTGCTTCCCTCTGGTGTTGAAATGTACGTATTGCTCTATAACAACCTTCCAGGATGAGGATCCTGCAGGTGTTGCTGAATTACAGCTCTTCCCATTCCTGAATTTTGGCCATGCTGCCTAGGACTGAAGGGTGCAGAAGTTTTAACAGCATTTGGAGGGCCACAGGTACTCCACCCCCATTCATGCAACTGTGAGTAATAATACAAAAGGGACAAATACGACCACAATGTATGACTTCTTAGCAAATTCTAGTTAGAGGTAGGTAGTGCATTGGTCTGCCGTAGTCGAAACAAAATAAAAAAATTCCTTCCAGTAGCACCTTAAAGGTAAAGGGACCCCTGACCATTAGGTCCAGTTGCGGGCGACTCTGGGGTTGCGGCGCTCATCTCGCTTTACTGGCCAAGGGAGCCGGCATACAGCTTCCGGGTCATGTGGCCAGCATGACTAAGCCGCTTCTGGCGAACCAGAGCAGCGCACAGAAAAGCCGTTTACCTTCCTGACGGAGCAGTACCTATTTATCTACTTGCACTGTGCTTTCAAACTGCTAGGTTGGCAAGAGCAGGGACCGAGCAACGGGAGCTCACCCCGTCGCGGGGATTCGAACCGCTGACCTTCTGATCGGCAAGTCCTGGGCTCTGTGGTTTAACCCACAGTGCCACCCGCGTCCCTAGGAGCACCTTAGAGACCAACTAAGTTTGTTATTGGTGTGAGCTTTCGTGTATCTGAAGCAGTGTGGATGTACACAAAAGCTCATACCAATAACAAACTTAGTTGGTCTTTAAGGTGCTACTGGAAGGAATTTATTTTTATTTTCTTAGCAAATTGGAATAGTTAGGTGGCCAAAGGCAAATGTAGAGATTCCTATTTTTTTAGGAAGTTCTTCTTCTTTTTTAAAAAATATTTTTATTGAACAATTTCAACATAACAAATTATCAGTTCGGAAGTTCTTCAAATAGATTGCTCCTGTTCTATTCCTGTCTCCTAGGCCAGGACCCGCCCGCCCCCACGCCCGATTGTTTATTCAATTTGCTATATCTTTCATTGCCACATGAAGCATATGATAAGAGAGAAAATGGCCAGGCCACAATGGACCTCCCTCCCCCACCCCAAAAAACCCCTCCCTCCTCCGCTACTTACTTTCTTTGGTGGCACTTTCCACCAAGCTCCCAGATAGTGGGGAACAGTGGATTGTGGCACTTTTGTATGTGTATTTTAATAAATATTTTTATTACATTTTACATAATAAATTTAATTTCAACATATCTTTTTTTTAAATAATCTTTATCAGTTTCCCACATAAACATATATACATAGATTACAAGTCATACAAAACAAAAGCAATAAAAGGAAAGGGAAAAAGGAAAAGAAAATACAATATATTACAATTAAATAATTACAATGCAAAACTTCCAATCATGCTCATTATACTGCTTATATTGTCAATGTTTCCTTGCACAGATTTATATTATTTCATATTATTTTTATATAATCCGATACAATATCTAATACGCTTTTTGCTTACAAGTATCAATCTAGTTCTGCAAGTATATTGTTGTTTGTACAATACAATTTTAGATATTCCTTAAATATTTTCCATTCTCCGTATACTTTCTGGTTTGACACTCCTCTGACTCTTCCCGTCAGTTTTGCTAGTTGCAGGTACTCTATCATAAGAGTCTGCCACTCTGTTAGCATTGGTAGTGTTTCATTTTTCCAGTTTCTTGCCGCTATTATTCTAGCTGCCGTGATTGCATACATGAAAAATGGTCTTATAACTTTAAAAAATTCTATTGGTTGTTGTTGTTGTTTAGTCATTTAGTCGTGTCCGACTCTTCGTGACCCCATAGACCAGAGCACGCCAGGCACTCCTGTCTTCCACTGCCTCCCGCAGTTTGGTCAAACTCATGTTAGTAACTTCAAGAACACTGTCCAACCATCTCGTCCTCTGCCGTCCCCTTCTCCTTGAGCCCTCAATCTTTCCCAACATCAGGGGCTTTTCCAGGGAGTCTTCTCTTCTCATGAGGTGGCCAAAGTATTGGAGCCTCAGCTTCAGGATCTGTCCTTAGTATACCTAATAAGAAGATCTCTGGTCTTTTTTTAAATTTAAATTTAAATAGTTTTTTGAGTTCACTGTAAATGTTGTTCCAAAATTCACGGATAACTACACAGTTCCACCACATATGAAAATATGACCCTATGCCCTTTTTGCATCTCCAGCATGTTGGTGACCTGCCTTTATACATTTTAGCAAGTTTTAAAGTGGTGTGGTGCCATCTGTATAGCATCTTCATAGTGTTTTCCCTGAGGTTGTAGCAGGATAATTTGAACATATCAGTCACCTTCACATGGAGGCACTTTTGAAAGGGAGCCGAGCTCAGCTTCCATCCATAGTGGCTGCCAGCCACCGTAAGTAACCCAAAACGAAATGCCCTTGCCCATAGATCTTTGAAATCTGCAGGTTTTATACTTCGGCCATCGTACCCAAAAAATTCACGAGAGCCTTACAAGATCAGTGCACATTCAGGAAATGGTGTCCATATGATTTTGTCTCTGTGCACATCATACCCTTCAACATTTATCTGATGAAAATCAAGGACATCCTATTCTATTATTATTATTTATTATTATTATTATTATTATTATTATTATTATTATTATTATTGGGACACGGGTGGTGCTGTGGTCTAACCCACTTAGCCTCTTGGGCTTGCCCCTTGGAAGGTCAGCAGTTCAAATTCCCACGACGGGGTGAGCTCCCGTTGCTCTGTCCCAGCTCCTGCCAACCTAGCAGTTCGAAAGCACACCAGTGCAAGTAGATAAATAGGTACCGCTGCGGCGGGAAGGTAAACAGCGTTTCCGTGCACTCTGGTTTCCATCACGGTGTTCTGTTGTGCCAGAAGCAGTTTAGTCCTGCTGGCCACATGACTTGGAAAGCTGTCTGTGGACAAACACCAGCTCCCTTGGCCTGAAAGCGAGATGAGCGTTGCAACCCCATAGTCGCCTTGGACTGGACTTAACCATCCAGGGGTCCTTTACCTTTTTTACCTTTATTATTATTGTTATTGTTATTATTATTATTATTATTATTATTATTATTATTATTATTATTACAGTGGTACCTCAGGTTACAAACACCTCGGGTTACAAACACTTTGGGTTACAGATTCCGCTAACCCGGGAGTAGTACCTCGGGTTAAGAACTTTACCTCAGGATGATAACAGAATTCGTGCAGCAGCAGTGTGGTGGCAGTGGGAGGTCCCATTAGCTAAAGTGGTACCTCAGGTTAAGAACGGTTTCAGGTTAAGAATGGACCTCTGGAACGTATTAAGTATTATTACTGGTACTACTACTACTACTGTTAACCCCATAATTTTCATAGTGAATTGCCTACTTGCAGAAGACCTTTGTACTATATGGCAGACCAGTCTGGATTTGAAAGGAGGTGGGGAAATACAATATCACAATGAGCAGATTTAAGCCTAAGGTGTTTACCTTATCAATACCTTATAATGTCGATATAATCAATATGCTGCCCTTCAGATATTCTTGGACTTCAACTCCCATCTGCCCCAGTCAGCATAGCCCATGGTCATGATTGGTGGGAGTTGTAGTCCCAGCAACATCCCGAGGGCACCAGGTTGGCTAACCACAAATATGGTGCATATTACACCATCAACACCGTTGCCTTTGAGGAGCAGGAAACCTAGCAACATCTGCTGCCATCCTTTTACACTAAATCAGTGTTTCCCAACCTTTTTTGGGCAAAGGCACACTTGTTTCATGAAAAAAATCTCGAGGCACACCACCATTAGAAAATGTTAAAAAATTTAACTCTGTGCCT